AAAAAAAAAAAAAAAAAAAAGCTGAGGTTTATCCTACCTTGGGCTTCAACGACCAAAAGAGGCTATAATTTTTATCGACCAATCATTGTTGTCGTTGAACCCTCCAAATCACAAATGAAAAAAATGTTGGGGTTTATCAAAGCTAAGGGCTTTAGCGACCTTTAGAAACCAAAACTGAATTAGTTGCTAAGTGTTGTTATCAGTGACCACAATGTTGTTGCTGAAGGTTATAGTTTTCACTAACTAATCCACTGTGGCTGTTGAAACCCCCAATAACGAACGAAAAAAAGAAAGGGTAAATCCCGCTAATGGCTATAGTGACTAAAAATGAACTGGTTCGTGGAGTTTTCATCAACCAATTTATTGTCACCACTAAAACTACCAATAACAAGCAAAAAAAGTGGGGTTTATCGTGCCATGGGCTTCAAGACCAAAAATGAACTGGTTGTTGAATGTTATTATCAGTGACGACAATGTGGTCGCTGAAGGTTATTAGTGACCAAAAATGAATTGGTCGCTGAAGGTTATTAGTGACCAATTCATTATTGCCTTTGAAACCCCAATAACACATGGAAAAACAGCGGTTTAAATTCCACCTAATTATAAGTGACCAAATCTGATTTGGTCTGATTTGGTCACTAATCTTGGATTTGGCAACAAAATTTTGGTCGCAACCGGGTGTATGAAAATTGGTCTAATCTTATCACACCAAGAAATTTGTCAACCAATGTGAGGTCAGTGAGAGTGTCTTATAGCAACCAATTTTATTTGGTCACTAAATTTTGGTCGTAAAAGTGATCCCCCGGTACAGTTACAATATACTATCATTACCGCTTGGACAATTAGACATCCAATTCGTAATCGTAATGACCCAATTCCAAGAGCGGAGCTCTACCAACTAGCTAAATCCCCATTTTTTGTAGTGTCATTTTATATTGTGGAGTAAACTTATTCGAGCTTAGTTAACATGCCATAAACGTCCTCGAAACTTTATTTGGAATTATTTGCATTTGAAAATCATACTAACAAGATAAAAAAAATAAAAAGTTGAGCATATGGTCCCTCCTCCCTTCACCTAATAAAGCTTTAGAACTCACTCACTCTTCATAATGCCAAGACAGCAGATATGTATGATCATCTTTGCAGGCTGTATTGCTGTTTGAAAGAAGAAAGCATTTCACATGTCAAAAGGAAGTCACATCCTAACCAAAGTGGGCTCAATGAAGCATGTGACTTAATGAATTTACAAGAATCAATTATGAATCCACATGTATAAAGTTTCTTAGCCCGTTTAGTGTTCCCAACTGAGTAGAATTAGACACTATTATGCTTATGTTTGGGCTCATTTTTTTTTTTATGAAAAATAGTTTTCTAACAGTGAATTTTAGGAGAATGTGATTAAAATATTCGGGTTTATGTGCAAAATATTTTATTGGGAGAATGTGTGATTGAAAATGAATTTGGAGAAAAAAGAGTATTTAGATAATGGGATTCTGCTCAGTACTCTACTATCCAATTTGGAGAAAAATAATGGGTTTTCCTGTGTTGTAATCACCCCCTGCCCAAAATAAAAAATTTGTAGAGACATTTTTATGTGAAAATTCTTTTATATATTAATCCAGACCCCCCACCCCTCTTTTTTTATTTTTATTTTTATTTTTTGGAGTTAAGCCATTTTGCTAGATGATTTTGTCCACCTATTTGACAGCAGATGATTAGGTACAAAAACTGACACTCTTTTATACAGTCCAATGACATTCTATCAATGAAGTGGGCAAAATATTCCGTGAATGTAGCATGATCCTCCTTTTTTTTTTTTTAAACCCAGCTTGACACACCTCCTGCTTGTGGTCTCCTCCACTGGTGTTTCAACATCTCCTTTTATTCTCTCCTACAGTGCTTCCTGCTCTTCCTCTGTGTCTCTGTGCGTGTGTGTGTGTGTAAGAGAGAGAGAGATTCATAGCCATGGCATTCGCAGGAACAACACAAAAATGTATGGCATGTGAAAAGACTGTGTATCTTGTGGACAAACTAACTGCAGATAATCGAATCTACCATAAAGCTTGTTTTAGATGCCACCACTGCAAGGGCACTCTCAAGGTTCACATTTAGACTTAAGTTTTCATTATTACTCTCATTCGATTTATGTTATATTTATCGGGATGAGTTCATTATTACCAAATTACAATAATGTATGTTTAGTTGACAACTGAATAGTATTAGACCAGATTTTAACTTCTTTAATTTGGTCGAGTCATTAAATGTTTGATATCAACTTGATTAGTTCTAACCTGGGGGTCGTTTCTACTATGGATGTGTTATTAGCTAAGTGTCCTGATCTGAGGTTGTCTCTTCTAGTAATTTGAGTTTGCTTCCTGATCTGATGTGTGATTCATATACAGCTTGGGAACTACAATTCCTTCGAGGGAGTGCTATATTGCAGGCCACATTTTGATCAGCTCTTCAAGAGAACAGGCAGTCTCGACAAAAGCTTTGAAGGTAAGTTAAAAAAAAAAAATGAGGAATTGTAGATTGAGATGAAGTTTTTCCGATCAAAGCATTCATTTTAAGTTTTCTCTTTTCACAATCTTTTCAGGAACACCTAAAGTTGCCAAAGAGAAGCATGCAGACTCCGAGGTATGAACCCTCTTGAACATAACAAGGTAGAATGGGGTGACGAAAATTATGGATCCTAATCTGAATAAATTTGGTTCCTTTTTCATCACTCTGTTCTCTTTATTGCTAGATCTTCTTGAAGATCTGAAGCAACTAAACTCTTAGCAAATAATGCACAGCATTTCAGTAAAAATTTGCCCTTTTTCTATTCTACCTTGTGCATTCATGATTAATCTTCTAATCTTCTTCTGTGATACAGAAACCACTGGCAAACAAAGTTTCAAGCATGTTTATTGGAACGAGAGAGAAATGCGCGGGCTGTAACAATACTGTCTATCCAACTGAAAAGGTAGTTCCTAGTCATTTCATTATAAGCAGCACAACATGAACCACTTATTTTGAAAGGGAGCTAGCTCAGACAATTCATTTCACATCATTTTTGTAGTATATTCTGTATTTTAAGTTGGAGGAAAAGCTATATATCATTATAAAACAAGGAATTTCATTCAGTGAATAGCCTTCAATTTCAGCAGAGCATTACACGTGATAATAGTAATATTCATGATCTTGCATAATATGTGTATCTATAGGTGTCTGTGAATGGAACTGCATACCACAAGAACTGTTTCAAATGCAGCCATGGAGGATGTGTCATCAGTCCATCAAACTACATTGCACACGAGGGGCGCCTTTACTGCAGACACCACCATACTCAACTCATCAAGGAGAAAGGAAATTTAAGCCAGCTCGAGGGGGACCATGAGAAAAATTCAGTATGAATCAATGTCGTAGCTGCAGAATCATAATTCAACGAGTGCATGTTTGTGACGAGGTATTGAACATGTCATACACTATAATAAACGAGATTTAAGCTTTTTTTTCTTTTTTAGCATTGTCCAGTGCCCTCCAGTCTTTCCTATGCATTGGTTCTTCTCTGTTGTTTGCTTTCCACCTCAATGTTGATGTTTTCCTCGAAGAGTAAAGAATGAACAGAAGTTCGAATATTACCAAAGTTTACAGATTTGTGTGTGGATTGACTTTCTGTCTTTGGCTTGTTTTAAATTGTGGATGTTCAAACTTATACAAAGTCTTGCTTAATTATTAGTTCAACATGGCGACTGGTGTATGATATTATTGCTATTGAATCTGCAATCTTGTTGGTATTAAATTCAAATGTTGACAACCCAATAAGTGTTTCAAGTTGGTTGTTTGATCTAACTATTACTAATGACTAAAATGTATCTAAATGCAACAAAAATTGAACTAGGGTTTCAAATATAGAATGGATATTAGGACTCACAATTTCATCTAGTGATTACCTTTAATTCTTAAATCAAGATTCATAAATCTAATGTAGTACTCGATCGAATTCTTCTATCGTATTCAATTTACCCTTCTCGAGTTCTCATTGAGTTTATTTATCAATTTCATGTCTTTATGTGAATCAAACATAGTTAAATACAATTATTTTTCTAAGAAATTATGAAACGACCGCAATAACTAGCATACGTATCTTTACAATATTTTACATTGAATTACCGAATTTTATTATGTGATCTAAATCTAAAACTCATCTCTCAATTCATAATAAATTCACAAAATCATTGAATTATTGGTCAAGTAATTCAAAGCATTAGACTCATGAATAAAATCAATACGCGTTTTGCAAGAACTAGAATCTTGAATAAACGAAATAAATGGTTTCAAATAGATTACATTGTTCTTCATAATAAAGGATTTAGTTACTCATATTGTAGAAAGAAAAACAACAGATATTCATTGAGTACATAACCTGATGAATCTTGCACCAAGATGATCTTCTTGCCCTAATCAATCTTCAAAACCTTAATTTCTTGATTTTTTTTCTCGTTTGATTTGCTCTCATAATTCTCAAGTTGTATTACTTGTTTCTCAAAGTGTGGAACGCTTTTCAATTGTCTCTCCTCTTGTATTTGTACTTCCCCTAATATTTTCCCCGGATTTGGAGTCTTCATGGACTTTAAAAAGCCCAAAAATCCCTAGATTATACTGAGAACCAAAAACAGATCTTTTCCACCCCTTTTTGCCTGCCTCTTTAACAACATATTTGAAAATTGAGTCATTGCTTCTATATTTCTTAGGAAAATGTTACTTGTACATTAGGGGTACATAAGGGTGTCCATAATGGACACCCGGAACCTCCCCATTGGATAAAGTGCCGACCCCACCTACACTTCATCCAATGGGGAGGTGCCGAGTGTCCATTATGGACACCCTTATGTACACCCTGATATACTTGTAGCACCTCCCTATTTCTTATTGCCCAACCTGAGAATGGACAGTTAACGCATTCCATTTATTAAATGGTGTTCTATGATCGGTGTAAAACACAAAAATCATCAACAGGAAAAGCCTACTTTTAAATAATACCAGACATGAGACCACCAGCATCCTTCCAGCTTAATCTCGAAAGGAATTACCAGATTAAGAAATACGTCCTGAATCACAATTTATGACATCGTTGCATACCAATATATCAGTGGAATCTTTCAAATGGTAATAATGTGATAAAATATGTATCTATTGATGTCTGTGAATGGAACTGCATGCCACGAGCTATTTCAAGTGCAGCCATGGAGGATGTGTCTTCAGTCCATCCAACTACATTGCACGAGAGGCAGCTTTACTGGGGACCTGGAGTATTTCCTCTTCTTGTATTGCTCCAGCCACAATGACCTATTTGAGAAATGGTCATCTTGGGTTCTAGAATTGTGAACTGGAACAATATGCTTCTACATTCTAACTAAGAGTTATAATTGAAGATTCTTGTGGTTCCGGAGATTCCAGCTATAGAAGAACCGAAAACACACAAAGATCTTTTCACTCGACTCTTTGGCCTAAAGAACGATGGTTTCCAAGTTTCTCTAATCCTTACTCCAAAACCTCCGAAAAGAAAACTAACATGTTGCACTTATCGAATACGGTTCTATTTCTACCGGGTTTAGGACACTTGACGTGTAAAACAGCAGGTAGCAGGAAAGCCAGACTTTGCAGAGGATTGTACCAGCAACGAGGTTACCTAAGTTTCAGCATCCATCCAGTTTAACTTTCGAAGGCATTGCCAGATCAAGAATTACATCTCGAATCACAATGATGGCATCCTTCTCGCCAATTTCAGAGCCGAGAGAAGCTATTTTTCAGACCAATCTACAATCCAAATTTCTACTGCAGTAGATGAGATTATTTAGAGCAGTCATGACATACATTAGCAACCCCACAAATGGCCATTCAGGAAAGAAAAAGAACTGTACATAAGCAAAGAACAATCCGAAGTAAAGAAACGAAGGAATTGATCATAGAGTATATATATGTTTATTACCCTGACAAGTCTATTACAATAGTTTAAGGGAGTTCATCGAAGTTTGGAATAAATATGTACACTGATAATCCAAGCGAAGAAATACGTCCTAATTTATGCAAGTGCAATCAATCATTACAAGGTTCTATTGTATCTAGAAGGAGACCATTTTTAGCAATATGCTTCAAATCTATAATGTAATTGTCTCGAAGAAACCCGAAACCAAATGTTCCATTTTCATACTGCCAAATTCTTCCCTCGCACTGTTGAGGATTTGTAGTGGCCCCTGCTAAGTTCGGAATGACCAAATCATAGCTTGAATTGATGAAAAGCATGTGGGAGACAGCTCCATTATCTGAACATGTCAGATAATCTCTACTGTGATATGATTCTGCAGGAGGCCGGGGATGCATGCGATTGCTGTATATATGATCTTCTTCAGGAGAAAGAGGAGGCTCGATAAACTTCGTACTAGATGACCAAAATACTGGGGCAAGCAAGGAAAGAGGTTTTGATGATTCTCCAACTTTTCGGCAAGCAATACCCCCAATATCATCATAGGAAACTAGATAGAAATCCAAGCTCATGTCCTCACAAATTCCCTGCAGCGACAAGCAGAGAAAAGCATCAAATAAGCTGAAATGCACTAGAAAAGAATCAAAACAGTTTCTGAAGACTCCCGTTGGTATTTACGCGGTCAAGCGAGATGATTATTTTGAATAAGCTCAAATGGTAAAGATTCTACAGTGTGGGGGTGCTTGATAATATTCCATTCCTTGAGGAATTCTTTAAGGAATAATGTATTGATTCAAGGCTTGACTTAGTCCCTGATGGTTGATGTTATCTTCGCAAGCAACAATCAAGATAACATTTCCACCAGATGCCATAAAGAAGGACCTTGAAATAAAGGCATTTCCCACCAGAAATTGTCGGCCACCCTTTGAAGTTATGAGAATTCATTTCAAAATTCAAGATGAGGACTCATCACATCAATAGCCTTTGAGAAGATCATTAAAGAAAAATAGAACTAAATATGATGAACCATAGCTCAAAAGAAGAAATCAAAATGAGGAATCTAGTTAAATATAAAAAAGCGTGAAATATGCTTTAGATTAAGATAACCAGGCTAAGATTAGAGAGAGGTTTCATGTCCAGGACTAAGAATTCAAACTAAACCTATCGAGTGTGGGTGGGTTAACTGGCATTTGGAATGTAGGAATGCATTGTGGGACAAGGACAGACTATTTAGGAAAGAAAGGAATCAGCTACCTCGTGTTGATTTCTTTTCTTCATAAGATACAAAACAAGAAAAAAGGGTTGCAATGGAACAGGAATGGTGAAATGACAAAATATACCTTAGCATATGACTCAGGCAAAAATTTTTGTTCAAGACTTCACTATATGAAAGTACAGATGAATTATAGCCACATGCAGGTATAAAAAGTTAAATCGTTATAACTTTTTAATGCTAAATGGTGTTTCTCATGAAGTGTAAAACTCCTCAATCTAGGGATGCCTAATTACATACCATGGAAAAGTTCCAACTTGAACCAAATCCCCTGTTTCATCTTTGAAGGCCTATGGAGACCACCTTGCTCGTGATTTGTGTTTGATTTGTGTGACTGGTGAGGTGTGAGGAGAAGTATTTCAAAAGGGCTAAATCAGCTATTGAGGTATTTTACCTCCATTAAACAATAGGCACCCATGTAGACCAATAATATAATTCAAAATATAAGATATTACAAATAATAAACCATGAATCATCTAGAAGATTCGTAATGAAACCTTTCAACAATTTTTGCAACTAGAAATATTTGAAAAGATCAAAAAAAGTGGTAAATAATATATCAACAAGGAAGAATTCAGAAAACAAGACCAATTTTTTGTAAAAATTTTGTTTGCTTTGGCTTCAAACAGAAAAGAATAACATAGTGGAAGAAAAAAATTATAGACAGACAATCAGGAAATAATAAATAAGGAGGGGAAGATTGAAGTTACATGTTGCCACTCCTCTAACTCCAAAAATCTACCATGTCACTGATTGGGAAGGGGAGTTTGCACTTCAACTCTACTAGTAAAGGCCTAGGGCTGGCACGGGCTCCACTTTTCCTCTCCAAAATTTTAATTCTTATATTTTAGTTTCTGAGGTTGGTAAGACAGCCCCCTTATAACATTCAGAGTGCTAAAAATCAGCTCAAAAGGTAGAGATCAATAAAAATAAGGCTAAAAGTGGCCTCAGACACCCCTTGGCATGAACCTGAATGATTGAAAGAGTAAGCCTAGATCATAAATTTAAACATTTCCAATGAACACCTCATACCAAGGAGAGCCTTAAGGTATGTGCTCCTCATAACATTGGGTGCAAGAAGGGTTGGGGATGGCAAAGAGGTAACATGAGGTGTCCGATTTTGGAGGGAAGGTGGGCACATGGATAGGATTAGTGTAAAGTGGAGGTAGCTGATGCTTGTGAAGGTGTTAGAAGGGGTAATGGATGACAGACAAAGAACACAACAACCTTACCATTTTGAATTTTTTTTAAAGGTAATTCAGGGAAACAAAATTTGGGTTCTGACTACTACTATTATGGGATAGGAAGGGAGACAGATGGGGTCCATTACTGGAAAGGCTTGGGATGGTTGTTTCCAGAAATCAACCACAAGTATGACATTGGAAATGGGTTCAAGTATACCCGTTCCATTAATAAAACACTAGCATAGAGATATAACACAAATGCATCAAGAGTGTTAAGTCAATGAGATGGACAAATTTCTGTTTCCAATCTCAAATAAGAAGCAAATTAGATTTTGCTTCTAATTTGCTTCTAAGGCTAAAGAAATCACAGTATAAGAAACATTGGGTTGCTTCTTATATAGATAATGGAATAAGTATGCAGCAGCAGATTATTCAGTGAAATAAAAAAAAAAAAACAGCAGTTGAACCTTCCTTCATGCTTAATTGGAGGGTTGCGGTGGCACCTCGCAGCGACGGCTACTTTCCCTCTAGACCACCAACAATACTCAAGTAAGACAAATGGAACATAATCTTTCTCCGAACATCCTCCATATACTAATTTTACAAATGGACTCCAACAACTTAAAACTAAAAAAAAAAAAATCAAAAAGACAAAATCTTTGATCACAACAAAGAGTAATCATCAATATTTGAGATCAACTAATAATCAGACAGAACTTAATAATGACATAAAATCCTTTAATCAGCATTGATATTTCATTGTTTGTCCAATAAAATGTTGATTGATTTAATANTTATCATACATATTACTAAATAATTCTTTGTACTATCCAATTCAGGACATAATAGAAAACAAGAGGCCTTATTTAGATACCAATCCCGAAACTTTTATCTAAGTCAAAAATCTGTCTAATAAAAACTTGGCTAAGTTCTAAATTGCAACAAAAACAATCATATCAACCGAAAAACTATTTTCTGCAAGATTAACTACCTTCCAGAGGCCCTGCAATGGCCGTGCAAGTGTGGGCGAGCAATTTACAATTTTCACAAGATGTTCGGGCTCCCATTTCCTCAACCTCTCCTGCTTCTTCTTCTCCCTCCTCCTCAGCCTCCTCGACACCCCATTCCCACTAGGGCTCGTTCTATTAGCCAGATACTGATAAATTTCCGACATCAACCGGTCAGGCGGTGAGCCACACACATTCTGATAATCCTCTCCTCTCACAATCCCCGAACTTGGCACCTTCCCGAACCCAAAAGATCCCAAATTTTCCTCCACTACCATGTGGCATTTGCCCATGAAACTCACATTCACCTGAATCAACTCATTCTCCAAAAAACCCAACGTCTCCGAGTCCATCAGTAAATCATCTGTAAAATCGAGTCTCCCGTCCGGATCCAAGTAATTCACAAGCTCCCCCTTGGACGTAATGCTCACCCACAAAAATGGCGATCTAATTACTTCATAGGACCCATTTTTCGAAGGCGAGATTATTGACCCAGTAATATAAAACGGACCCCACTCGAAATACACGAGAGAGGCAGGCGGAGAATTAACAGAAACAGTATTAGTGATGCCGCTTTGGCGCCAGAAGCCAATAAGGTTCTCATACTCGCTAAGAATCCGATAGAGTTCTTTATACGAAATTTTGCCGTGACCCCATCTCTTCAAGAGAGTGCAGGATCCCCATCTCCGGTCACACATAGAGAACCAGAGACGCTGGTCATCCCGGCAGAGAGAAACGAACTTCTTCGAGGTGCAAGCAAAAGAGGCCAACTCCGATGGAACCAGAAACGATAGTATGCAAAGCTGCACGTCCTCCGGGAAATCCGAAAATGATAGCGCAAAAACTATTTCTTCTGAATCTTGGAAATTCACTTCCATTGAAGGAAATATGTAGGTTTTGCCTCTTAGTTTTCTGGACGCGACGCAAATTGAGTACAGAAGAAGATTTGGTTGTGAATTGGTTTGTGGTGGTCCGGTGGATGAGGGCGATGGACGGGGAAGATTCCTCAGAAAAGGTGTTATTCTAAATGTTCTACACCTTAATACGTTACAATTGGTGCAAATGTATTCATTTCGTAATCTATTTCGTGTAATTTTGTAAGAACACAAGTTTGGCGAGTTAAATGTTTCATTAGCCACTGAACTTTGCACCATGTCACGGACTACTCACCGAACTTCCAAACTTGTCCCGTTGGCCACTAAACTTCACTCCGTCCAACTCCATCACTCACCGGCTAAAAATCGTTAACGGAGGCGCCTACGTGGACGACGGAAAGTTGAGTTGGCAAGTTAAATTCGTCCAACTGGTACCTCACTCGCCAAATCATACTCCAGGGTAGCAAAATCGCATCCAAGCAACTGCTCTTGCCAATTACATACACAACTTCAGCTGCAATCCTCTTGCCAATTACATACACGACTTCAGCTGCAATTGATTACCCCCAAATCCATATTCCTAAATCGAACCTGTAATCGTGAATTCCATTTTCCCCAAATCAAATCTCCCCCGAGTCGAACCATTAAGCGGGACATCTATTTCTCCCAAATTGAACCGTTCTTGTATGAAATGTTCAATTTTCCTTCTTCATTCTTTTTGTATTTCATGTTTTGCAGGTAATTAGCCATATACCACACCAAGAATTCGAAGCAAATCACGGATGGAACTTTTATGAAGCACCCATGTACTGAAGTCCACATTATTTTGGCAGTGTTTGATCTGTAGTGGCATTTCATAATGTCCAATGTTTTGTTTTTGGAATGTAAAATCAAAACAGATTGGCTGCTGTTCAATTGTTCATTGGATACATTGGTTTGCGCCAGGACTTGGTTAATACTTAATATTAGATTATTTGGATTTAGTATGAAAACAATTATTGTTTTTCAAATTTGGGTTCAATTTGATATGGAATGAATGATATAAATGTTGTTGTAATTGCTGATATATTTCGAGTGCTGGGCTGTTTATTCTGTTTGAAGACCAACATAGAGTTGGGTGTGTTTTCAAAGTGTTCGCTGGAAATACCAACTACCCAACATCATTGTCAGTCTGCTGGGAATGGCATTAGAAATAATTTGATATGGAATTTGTTTTCTGGTTTATAGTTGTTGTGAGAAAGGGAGCAAATTGGCGTGGTTTTAACTGCACGGTTCTTAGCATTTATAGAGCAGAACATTCATTTCTGTGATAGTCAATTATCAAAGTGTCTGATGCGGATCACAGCCTCATTGCACTCGTGGCTTGTTAAGATAGTCAGATGGTTCATTGGGTTTTATTGCACTTTCCCTTTAATACTTGATGCACTATGAAATATACAGAAACCCGTTGAGCTATGTTTGCTCCCAAACATTCTGTCATTCTTCATCTTTGAGATTGGCTCGCAGAAGCCAATTCTCCTTCCTGGTTCAGATTTGAACCTTGGTATAGTTCCAAAGACCGAAACATCCTTGCGGGAAACAAGATCAAAACATGATAAACTACCGTCATGAAATAAACTACCGGAATGGGGAGGGGACAAGTGCATTGTGCCATCTATGATAAAGTTCCAAACATATGCTACACAAACTGCATTAATAAATATCATGATGTTAACCATAGAAAGTGATGTCTCCATACAGTTCTAAATATTTAAAATGCAAGTCGATAAACTTCGGTTGATGTCAGTACAACATAAGTCATTAATTTCATTACATAAGTCGTCAACCATTTCTTCAAAGTAACTTCCACGGTTGGCACATTAGTTGCAACGGAATGACCACGTTCTTGTTGATCACGATTAGGCATCATAACTGCTAGGTCGGGTGTAACATGATCCGTTCCTGCTTTGTGTAACCATCGATGTAGGCATGAAATGATAAGAACTCTCCTGTGCGTAGTTCTTCGCTGAACAGTCACCTTTCCTCTGGCGGCAACCATTTTATCTTACATCGCATTTAAAACAAGGTTAGGACATAAACCAAGATTTTATCCAAAGGTACTAAAGCTAATGTACATTACATTTCAAATTCAGTTCCTAAAGCAACACCAGAAAACCATAAGCAAACCAAATTAATGTACTCATTTCATGTTCAATCATATTACTGCACATTACATTTCCAATCCCAGCAGCTAAGAATTTTTCCCCCCAAAACATCAATAATTAAAAATGAAACAAAATGCATGAATTCAAGCATCACAGTTATATGATTTATAACTGAAACATTAACATGCTTAACATTCAAAATGCTTACACAGTTATGAATCTGAAAGGTTTAAGATCCTGTATTTAATTTCAAAAATTGCAAAAATGTAAATAATATAAAAAGGAAAATCCATGGCCAGGCACTTACAAATGTGGCAATATTTGTCAAATTAAATCTCTCCAGTCACTAGTTTATTGCCATTTCTTTTGCGTTTCCATTTCTTTACAAATCATAAGCATAAGCATTTTCAGTAACAAATCAGATCTTCTCCCCTAACCAGATCATAAGCATTTTCAGTAATAAATCATTCATTTACTTCTTAAATGTTCAGTATGCAACGTGACCGCAAAGATATTGCGTAATATATGTTTATAATCACAAGGCATCATCTGAAAATTTACCCTTGATTTAGTTCAAATCACGGTTGCAACCCAACACAATCTTCATTAATTTATCCTTCCGGTTGGGTTTTTGGCAGTCCTTGTCGATTTGGGGGTTTAGGGTTCTTGAGGCTGATTTGGGGAAATGGATTCAGACCTTACATGATGGGTTTAGCATATATGAAGAATTGGCTTTATCAAATGATGCTCAGCTTTGCTAATCTGGCGATGAGTTGGCGATTATACATACCAATTGGACGAATTTAAGTGGGCAGCTCAGCTTTCCGTCGGCCACGTAGGCGCCTCAGTTAACGGTTTTTAGCCGGTGAGTGATGGAGTTGGACGGAGTGAAGTTCAGTGGCCAACGGGACAAGTTTGAAAGTTCGGTGATTAGTCCGTGACATGGTCCAAAGTTCAGTGGCTAATGAAACATTTAACTCCAAGTTTGGCTAATCTTAAAAAATTTAGCATAAAAAAACATCCATTCATAAATCATTTATATTAATAAATTTAATCAAAATTAAATATTAATTCTCATCACATACTTATAATTATTATTTCATTGAGAGGACAATCTTTGAATGCTACATCTTTTGGTGAACTCTATAATTGAATCATGAAAATATTAAAAAAGTTTTGCAATCGAAATGCTTTCCTCAAAGACATTAATGCCACATGAAAGAAATTGGAAAAAGCTTGTGATAAGCCTTATTTACATATCAAATGCAGTCGTTCTATGAAAGATTGTGATAGCAATGGAAAGAAAAAATTCTATAAAAGGATAATGGAGTTTTCTCGCAAAGAAACTCCTCTTAATTCTTTTCGGAAAAAGAAAAGATTTTTCAGGCGCAAATTCTCAAAAAAAAAAAAAAAAAAA